AATAGATACAACATAAATGACAGAAGGTAATCCTTCTTTTGCAATATGCAAGAAAGCTCTTCCACCTACAAATATAAATTTAATTATATTAGATTTATGAATTTCTACTTGATGAATCATACTCTTAGTTATACTTTAAAAAAATTTAAGTCTACAAGAAATCTAATCTATTTTTGGATTATATTTTTTTTAGCCATGATAGACCTAAAATGATTGGATTAAAAAGAAATCTAATGATATTAAATATTACAAAGCTACTATGACCATTAGTTGTTATTCTATAAGAAGAATTTCATGAGTAATATTTCTTAAAGACAATAGACGACTATCTATGACTTCTACATGAACAAATTTAATTTTCTTCATTAAAGATATGCTTTATCTTTAAGCAAATTCTTCATCTAAAAAATATGCTAAGACTCTTGAGTCTAACAAGAAAAAGGCTTTGTAATACTTAGTTCTTTAAATAATATTTATTATAAAACAAAGAAAGGATTTTGAGAAAAGAATAGAACCTTCATTAGGTGTTGTATAAAGTTCCAACCGCACAGTCTCTATTGTAGCTAAACAAACTTGTTTTCTGATATATTATCTTCTTTGATAATTGTATTCCTCATTTTGTAGTTGCATCATTTCTTTTGATAATATTAAACAATATATTTAGATTCTCTATAATACAAGCACAATCCTTCTTGACATCAATGATTCTTTTCTTGCTTAGTAAGAAGTTTAAAATGTACCACATTAATTTATATATCCTCTACTTTCAAATATTTTTGTTGAAAAGACGTTGGCATTGTCATTGAATTATAGTAGTATTGAGGTAAACTTGTACGACTTTCAAATCAAAATTCAAAAAATTGATGGTCACACCTCAAAGCAAATTCAATTGCTTGACTCAATGTTTGGAGATTAAATAAGTTGAGCATCAATATTTTTTACTTCATATTATAATCTATAGAAAAATTAGATAATAAGTATAGCATCATTTTACTTCATATCACTTATAAGTTGTCAAAACTATAAAGCATATAACGTTATTAATTGATTATCTTATCTTAAAATATGAATCTTATTGGTTGCAACACAAATTACATCATATTTTCCATACATGGATCAAAAACTCTATAAAAAAAAACCTTCAAATTATTCAATATTAGATCTTATTATTTAATAAAAAATAAAAAACCATAATAATGCTAAACTTGAAAAGAATGTATTAATAAATCTAACTTGTGATCCTAGGATTGAGTAACTTTAGAGTTGAAGTTCAATGACAAATTATACTTGATTAATAAATCTTTGAAATTTGGCTCTTGTCCCATCAAACTTCTTAGATAGTGCAATCTTTGATTCTTTAATACTAGAAGGATGTTCTATTATAAGAAAAAAATATGATTTTAGTACACATCTTGAAGCAGATCTAATCATTTTTGTATTTTTACTCCATGCCATTATTTTTGCTCTTTGTAGTAATAAATTGAGTTAATAAATTGCAAGCATTAATTCCTTCAATTGCTCTTATATTTATACAATTACACTCTTTATTTCAAAAATCTTTACTATGATAATACTTTTAAAAAAAAAAGATGTCTAATATCACATAAAACAAATAAAAGAGAAGACTTGAAAATAAAGAAAAAATGCTAAAAATAATATCAATTAAGAAGAGGATAATTTGTAACTCCTATTGAGCTGAAGTCTTATTAAGAAAAAGCCGTAATCCATTTTCAATCAAGAAAAGACAAAGCTCTAATATTGTAAATATACTCTTACCAATCTATTAACGACAAGAATTCAATGAAAGTAAATAAATAAGTGAGGTTTTTTCAAAAAAAAAAAAAAACATAGAAATAAATAAAAAAGTATATTAAAAAAAATTAAAAAAAAAAATTGGAATGGCTATTGCTAAAAGACAACAAAACTAAAAATTCTTAAAACTAAATTAAAAATAGAAAAGAAATTGACAAGAATAAATAATGCTTTATTCTTGCGTCTATATAACCTACATACCTAAGATCTATGTGGCAACGTTCTATAAGACCTCCAAAAACGTGTTGACTTTGCATGACATATATCTTAACTTACAAGTCAAGTTTTCTATATAGGCACAACATAGTTAGCTTGTTCTATAAGCTACCAATACATGTAGCATGTAGTTAGCTTGTTTACTAAGTTTTTAATCTATCAATCAACTACAAATACATGTAAAGTCAAAATAGCATCTACAAAGCTTCTAAGAAGCTTTTTTAAAAGGTACTATGAAATTAATCTACTTTTACTTACTACTATCTATTCATATTATCTAGGAAAGAATTACAATAGATATATATTTTTGACACATTGTGGAAAAAGCCAAAGGTATTGAATTCTATAAGAAAAATATGAAGAATTCATACAAAATAATTATAATCTTCTAATTAAAATACTATTTTTTTTTTTTATGCAAATCAACACATTGAGATTAATTCAAATGATGTTTTACAAGCCATAAATATCTTCTAAGAAGGAATGAAAGCATGTAATAGAAAAGAATCTTGATTTATTTTAACTTGGTATATAAGAATTTCTTGCATTATCTAATGGCCAAAAATCAATCAACTTAAAATAAGGCTTTTGGAAGAAGTTTGCTAGCTATAGATCTATGAACCAGCTTAAGATATAATTAGTAGCAAAAAATTATTCATAGATAAAATACATTGATTACCATAAGATATTTATATATGTGATGTATATTATGATAATTTATATTCTTATTGTGATTATTGCCACATTAAAATAGAATATATTACAAACTAAATATGTCTTAGCTTATCTAAATGGTGAATTGAAAAAATATATATTTACATAAAGAATCCAAAGAATTTGGACATTCCATCTAAATATAAGAACAAGCTATTATACTTATTTGTATGGCTTAAATAAGTCAAAAGATAATGGAATATAAATTTAGATGTCTTTCATATAGATCTTAGTTAGAATTTAATTATTGCTTATATATAATATATAATGGTGATTTAGTGCTTATAATCATCATTTATATCAAAAAAATATTAACTAGACATAAGTTTTTTAAGATCTTTATGACATACAATGAAAAGTTGTAAAAACAATATATGAAAGACCTTGGTGAATTCAATTACTTTTTAAGCATTAAATTTTCTATAAAACAAAGAGGTTAGTCCTATATCATTAAATCAAACAAAATATATGACTTCAAACTTAATAAATCTGGAATAGATAATACAAAGTCAAATACAACTTCAATGAAAAAAAAGACATTTTATTAGACATCAATATAATAAATAAATGGATGAAGATGGAATAAAACTTTACTAAAGAGTGTTAAGGATAAGAACTTGATGAAAGCAAATAAATAAGTGAGACTCTTTTAAAGAAATATGACAAAATAGAAATAGAGAAGTATGTATATTAAAATGAAAATTAGAATGGCTATTTCCAAAAGACAAGGAAATTAGAGACTCTTGAAACTAGACTAGAAGCAAGAAAGAAATTTACAAGAGTGAAGAAGGCTTCATTCTTGCATCTATATATACTATCTTTCTATGATCTATGTGGCAACATTCTATAGGACCTCTAAAAACGTGTTGACTTTGCATGACATATATCTTAACTTGCAAGACAAGTTTTCTATATAGGCGCCACATAGTTAGCTTGTTCTATAAGCTACCAATACATGTAGCATGTGGTTAGCTTGTTTACTAAGTTTTAACCTATCAATCAATTACAAACACATGTAAAATCAAAAATAGCATCTAAAAAGCCTCTAGAAAGCTTTTTTATTAGTTTATATTAATTTTTTTATAAATTAATAGTTTTAATAATAAAATCCTTGTGTAATTTATTATTTTTCATTCTATTATAGATTTTTGTACATAAAATATTTAAAACGTGGGCCTTGCACTTAGTTACATATATCAAATAAGTATATGACATAGTAAGTACAATATTCAATATTTTATCACTTTTATATTATATACTTTAAGTAGTTTAGGTCTTTTTTATTCATGTTTCTTGTCTTCTTATAGCCTTGTATTTAAATGCTTAAGTTGATTGACAATCATATTGACCAAATTCCTACATCACAAAAAAAAAAAAAAAAAAAAAAAAAAAAAAAAACTTTAAAAGCAAAGGTATCATCTCTTAGTACACTACTATCAAGTCCCTAAGCAATTGGAAGATAAACTCTCGCACTAACAATGATCTTTCAAACAACATTTACTACAATAACCAATATTAAAAATTAGTAAATTATTGCAATATAATCCCTCATCAATAAATATCTATTCATATATTCACACCATAATTTCAATACCACAAGTTTCAAAAACTTAGCTTTTACTATAATATATGCTATCTTTTCAATAAACACTCACCATTCCAATTTTTTTCTTTATATATTTTGCATACACTCCATCTTGGTGGCTTTTAATTCCTTAACATAAAGAATATATTTTAAAATGATATTATAGTCGAATCTACCTTTGAAACCAAGATGTTCTTGGCTTTGAAATAGACCTATTGAGTTAGTGTTAATATGTAGGCTAATGAAGTCTATATTGAACAAAATATTGTATACTAAATAGTTGACAATCATTAAACTATTCTTTTAGAACACTTTTTGTCCCCCTACTTTATTGACCAATTAAAAAAGATGCAAGTTATAATAATGTGGGGCATAGACAAAAGACTGCGGAAAAGTGGGGCGTGGAGTGCAATGAAAGGCATTGGACTGTTTTAGGGCCAGCAAAGAAGCAACAAATCTTCATTCTAACTACTGGGCTGGTCAGCCAATTCAAATCACATCCCGAAGCATTGTAGTAGGCTGTGTAGCCACCGACACGTAGCATGTGTGGACTGGGCACCAATCACACAGTCTACTGAATAACCTAACTAAAGGATCAATCACACAAACCTACGTGCAATCCAGATGGGACTTATCTAGTCATGTTGATTGCCCAACCAAGCATTGGCTCATTCGATCGTATCTCGTAGCAAAGTGTGCAAACATCACAATGCTTGTATTTAGATTAGATCAAAGCGTGTCAAGCTTTCAAAACAATGCAGGCAGATTAACAAAGTCTGCAGGAACTACTGATTTGACTGAGCACAATTCATGACTCGATAACTACGGCATGGAGAAAAGCTGCTGGAAGTTTATAGGATCCATCACATCTTTACCACCGTGAAAAAACTCTCTCGCGAGCAGCCCGTTGGCCTTGTCAGTTGGATGGAATGGATCCCAGAAGAGGTAAGCAGCTCGGTCCGGGCAAGTGCGTACCGTCGGTAGGCATGGAATCAGTCCGTTGTACGGTCCTCCTCCGCAACAGCCCTTGTTAACCTCCGTGAAACCTAAGAATTCAATGTATCCACGATCAGAAACCATAATGTGGTATGGTTGACTTACCCATCACATGCTTAACAACTGAACTGCGTAAGAAAGTGGGTAGTGAGCGCTTGCCGAATTGTGCTGGACTGGATACATATGACGCAATTAGATCATAGACGTTCGCATAGACGAAGTTGGATCCAGGGAGGCTTGCAGTGAGTTGCTTTAGGAGAATTTTGGATGCGGCGTTGAACCCTCTCACATAGCTGTTGACAAACTGTATGCAGCTCCCATCGGGACTTCTTTGATTGTAGAGCTGAGAGGGGATGCATCCCAGCGGTCCTACGCCGAAGACGACTATCTTGCGCGCTCCAAGGCCGTAAAGTGTCTGTGGTCATTGCAAGTTTTGTCAATGTCTGGCGACATGCAAGTTCCTATGTTTAAATAGATTTAGTTTCGACATCTGTGAGGGTATAGTTTTAGACCCGCAGTTGCTTTTTGAATTCTGAAATGAGGAGGTCTTGGTATTGTTGGGGTGTGTACTGCCGCGAAGTAGCGGACCCCGTAAGCAGGTAATTATTAATGTAGTCGTTGCTTCCAATGATGACAGACCACAGCGACTTGGCGAATACTTCTCCCGTTTTAGCTTCTCCGATAAGCTGCGCGAACTGGGCCTTTGTGTTTTCCAAGTAAGTTAGCTGCTTGTTCAGAGATATGCGCCCAATCTGCGCGAAATCAGTCGACGAACCTCCTTAGAGTATGGAAACCGCAGATTTCTCAACATCAAATTTACCTGAGAATGCAGATTGTAATAAATCAGTATCTAACGATAGACATACATAATTGAAGCCAGTAGAGTCGAGGATGCCAGCTGCAGCTGAGGCGTAGTTGATGCCTTGAAGAATAGCTGGTCCCTGCGTCTCCTTACTCAGATATGGTGGAGGAAACGGCAAGCCCATCATTTGAACTGCAATTTCGCCTCAAACATTTTTATTAGTAATCAAGTAATCAAGATCGGCCACTGTGTAAAGTAAGAAGTGTGGAAAATTAGGAACCAAGGAAGTTAACTTTAATTGTTGTCGAGCGCACCAATGAAGTCCGCGGTAGTGCGGCCATTGCAGAAACGTCCTGTGGGCCCCTGAGGAAAGTCCAAGCCATTCGGACGAAAATTGGACTTGGCAAGTGTCAGAATGTAATTGTTATTGCCAGGGTCGACTAGCGAGTCGCCGAGGATGAAACTAGCAGGCTTGACAGTTTGTCCGTTTGATGCTGTGATTCCGCTGAATACGACGAATATCATAGTGAGCCGTAGTAAAATACCAATCCTCAACGTGAAGAGTTGCCGTATTCCCATCTCTCCACCTACTTCCTCTCAAATTATGACCAATCTGCACAACCCAAATCTTGTTAACAAATGCCTATGTATTCAGCTACGATCCTGGCTATGTCTGATGCAATGTTCTCAGCAGAAAAGCATCATGCGCCTTCGAAGCATCGCATATCTAAAGAATCAGAAGACATTGCACCTGTGCGGTAGGAGCTGTACAGCGTGCCAGTTGTTTAACAACTGCGGGGTAGAATTCTTGGAGCTTGACATCGTCCGGTTACTCGGATTCTGGCACCGGCGACGGGACTGGATCCTTACAGAGGAAACCGTGAAAGCTCACCTACTGAAAGATCAGCGCAGCTAATGCAACAACTGTGAGGGACATGAGAGCCACCCTAGGTTTGATGGCACCCTGTACGGACAAACCAATAGTCTCTGGTGTTGTGTAAGAGCTTGCAACTCCACTTCAGCTTGTGCATGTGACTCAGCTGGCTCTGCTTCATTGATAGCACTAGACGATGTTGCTCGTAATGACCCCGATTATGCTAGCTACACGGTAAATTTATCAAGAGCGACATACAGTATATGTTAAGTAATAATCTTCCCAAGGAGCTCGTGAGTTGAGAACAAGATGGTGAATAATTGCACGAGCATTTCAGTCTGTACAAATAACTTCGACACAATCATCTCCGTGCCTCACTTGAATTCGAAAAGAATGCGGTCACTGTCTCGTGAGATGGCCCAAAGCTATGCATCCGACATTTTGGAAATCATCCCCCCCTCAGCAGGAGATGGAAGTCCCACTTCCATTATATGCTTTAAAATAGACAACATTACACAGCCCACAGAAATTCACATTGTTTTTAGCCAAGGATACGTCCTATATGTACATTTTGAACAGCACGTTATAGGAAGACCGCAAGAGTATGCAATTCAACTCCGTTCTTACAACACTTTTTATCGAGCAGATCAAAAGCTGCTGATTCAGCAATCAAACGCATTAGACGAAACACTAATCAACAGTATAACTAATCTGAGAACGAGATCTTGAACATCCTGTTGGCTAGGGCTTCATGGATGCAAGCGTCTTGACGTTCACAGGTTCTATGGCATCCTTGCCACCTTGGTAGAATGCACTGGCGAGAATCGCGTTGGCCTTGTCGGTGGGGTGGAAAGCATCCCAGAACAAGAAGGCTGCGCGGTCCGGGCAGGGGATCAACCCTAAGAGGCAGGGAACGGCGCCATTATATGGCCCCGCCCCGCAGCATCCCTTATTCACCACCGAAAACCCTGTGCAGTCAATCAGTAAATCAGATCAGTTGCGTTGCATTCTGCAGTGCTTCCCATTCAGTGTCTTAGACTTAGATCTATATCTCTCCCCGAATGACAGGGCAGAGGGACAATGTGCTACTCACCGTATTTGGCTGGGTCGTTAATCAGTGAATAAGTTAAATCATACGCTTTGGCAAAGACGAAGATGGATCGGGGGAGACTTCCGGTGAGTTGCTTCAAAAGAACGCTCGTTGCTGAGTTGAATCCTCTCACATAGCTATTGACGAACTCTATGCAGCTTCCGTCGGGGCTTCTTTGGTTGTAGAGCTGTGAGGGGATGCATCCCAGCGGGCCAACGTTGAAGACGAAAACTTTGCGACCACCGATGCTGTAGAGTCTCTGTTACGGAGAACGTTGGGGATATCATCAACATTACAGCCACGTACAAAACGATGATAAGTTTTATTCTTTGAGAAGTGGACGGGTTTCTCTTGGGTTTTCACTTAGTTTGTAGATAGGGTAGGGGTGTAGTGCTGAATTACCCTCAACAACTTGTCGAATTCTGAAATGAGAAGGTCTTCGTACTCTTGTGGAGTGTATTGTTGTGAAGTAGCAGATCCCGTGAGCAGATAATTGTTGATGTAGTCGTTGCTGCCGATTGTGATGTAGAATAGCGCGTTGGCATATAGGTCTGCCGTTTTGGCCTCTCCTATCATCTCTGTGATTTGGGCCTTCGTCTTTTCTACGTAATCCAGTTGCTTGCTTAGTGGAATACGCCCAATCTGCCACACAAAACATCCATCAAAGCTGTAGCTGTACCAAGTGCTCGAATTTTTCCAACGAAAAACATGAAAGAAGCAAAAAAACTTTACCACCTGCAAAGCCTTGAACCTGGGGAAATGACCATGCCAAATTAGTGGAACACTGTCGTGGTAACGATCATCTCAAATATTCCTCAGCTTTCTCACAAAAATGCCAATTTGAAGCAGGAAATAATGCAAATGCAGGCATTGCACAAAATTCAAAGAATTTATGTTTGATTCCGTATTGCGTGCTTATGCATTGCGCTGTGAGACGTAAAAGAATTCCAAGAGAACAGTAGCAAGAGTGCTCTTCATGTCTCATTTACATGATCTTCTGAAGCGAGGGATTGCGTCAGTGCAATTGCTTACGTAGTTGTATCCAGTCGAATCGAGGATGCCAGCCGCTGCTCCTGCATAGTTGATCCCCTGAAGAATGATGGGTCCTTGAGCCTTGGGACTCAAGTAGGGCGGAGGAAAAGGCAGGCCCATAAGTTGAGCTGCAGCGTCAATCACAAGACTTAACCAGAATGAATTTCTTGATTGAAATTAAATAAAGGAAGTTAGTTAAAGAAACAAATGTTCTAGGAAAGAGCATCCTCTAACGCACCCAAGTTGTCGGCAGTAGTGCGGCCATTGCAAAATCTTCCAGTGGGTCCTTGAGGGAAATCCAGTCCATTCGGAAGAAAGTTCGACTTGGCAAGCGTGAGGATGTAATTGTTGTTGCCGGGGTCGATGAGTGAGTCACCGAGAATATACATCGCAGGCATTAACTGCCCCATCGCAGCTTGCATGTTCCAGAAGAGGAACAACGCCACTGTCAGCCATGGTAAACTGGCGAACTTCGGGAAGCACTGAACAGGTTGAATTGCTCTAGACATTGTCGTCAAATTCTGCAATTTGTATTTAACAACGCACGTGAGACCTTAATTATACTAGTTATAAAATTCAGTAAAATCGTCATGACAGTTCTGAAGATGTGAACGTGCTCAAAAACGATAAAATGTTAACGGGGGGGCTGAAGTGAACACTTCAATACTGGTCCTCTACCTTCAACTGCGCAACTCGTAAGCTCTGCCACTCTCCTACCCTTTCGATTCAATTGCATACGGATGCACAAACATGAGCTCAGTTCTACTATCGGTACCGGTTCTGGAGTTCATAAGTACTGAGGACTTTGATTTTTGGTGGCAACTCTGCATCTGAAGTCGTAAATGCATGCTGTATAGTCTCACCAACTCAAAGATCACCCATGTAAAGCTGCTGCATGGATTTGATAATTTGCTCCAACTGTAGCATGGGTTAATTCTGATGAATAATGGATTTTTTTCCTTTAATGCTGGTGGTCTGCACAGCTGGGATTGACAAAGTTTGTCAGAATGTGAAGGAGACAAATTGAAATACAGTTGATAGAAAGTCCTCTGGGCAACTTATACATCCCACTTTCGTTTTTCTAAGCAATGCTTAGTTTTCAGGCAACTGAGAGCCTCACCGACAAGACTCCCATCTGTGGTGTGGGTGAGTTTCTCTGTTTGGGTTTTTTTCGCATTACCGACTGCCTGGTTCGATGTTGGCTCTGATGGCCACTATTATGGTGCAGAAGCGACACAATGCATAAGGCGGCTTTCCTCACACTCTTGGAGACCTACAAAGTATTTAACCCTAGGCAGATTCAAGAAGACACTCATGTCGGCGAAGTACAAGAATCATAGAATCCCAGAGAAAACGAAACTCTTGAGTTCTAAGTTTTGGTTAAATTTAAACGATGAGTTTACAGAAGTATTGACGGTTGAAAATCGTTGAGTTTGTAAACCTCGTCGTAGACAGAATGGAGCTCCCCTTTTCGGAAGAAACTAATGACTAGAATTAACTCCGGCAGCTGACAAGTGGATCCCATGATACATGCTGATAATTTGTGTGAACCTATTGCGAAGTTATCTATCACCTGACAGAAGGGTACTATGACAACACGAGAGTGAAGTCCAACATTCGCAGCTTTCCAGGCGAAACTGTAATAATTCATGTAGTACATGATGTATTTGCAATATTTGGTATACGGCATTGCATGCTATAGCGACGGCGTCAGTGTCGTGGCCTCTTAAACTATTTATGTCGAATCGATAGACCCCATCATTTTGTGATTTATCCTTGAAACGTAATGCTGACCTTCCCTCCTGCGAATGCCGGTAACATGATTAGAACATCGATAACGCTGAACTCATCTCTCAACATGACTAGGTAGTTTGCGGTGATCTGTCTCTTAAAACTCTCGTCTCTAAAACTCCAGAAACTGATGCAGATGTCTGAAACGAATCCCAATCATCTCAATTGCCGCCTCCAAGTTCAAGCTTGGAGGTGACTCTACAATGAGCTTCAATCTGCAGCGTGGATGGAGAGCGTTGTCAATGACCAAAACACAATGACTCCTCTTCAACCCACATCAGGTTGCTAACAACTCCCGATGACATGAACTCACTCTGCCATTCTGAGCAGCAGACCCGAGATTAAAGGGGTTGCAAATCACATGGTTGTGTCTGTCAAAACATGTTTTTGTTGTTTGGATCCATATTTTCAAATCCTGAGTTTCGAATAGCTTGCCACTAGTCGAGGTATCTGGCCAGGAATCACGAGTTTCCGTTGTCGGTATGGAAAGTGATCTGTAGAATGGACTTGTGAGACTCTTTCGTAGACTTCACTTCCTTTCGATATACTTTGAAAAGGTTTTACTTCGGACCAGTTCTGATATCACTGCAAAAAATCACATTATAAAAATAATTAAATCTCTATTGATTTTGATCTTAATAATATATATATATATATATATATATATATATATATAATAGATCCTATTGACAAGAAAAAAAATTAAAAAAATATTTTATAAAAAAATATACAAATCAAATTTATGTAAAATTTAATCTTAATATAATGATAGAATTTGTATACAGACAATTATTAAAGCTCCTTAAAAGCCTAAACGGCTTGCAGATGTTTTAGACATTTTTTGTAAAGTATTAAATTTTGGTTTTTTTCTTTTTCTTTTTTTTAAAAAATAGAAAATCTTATGAAGTTAGTTTTTTACTAATTTTTTTGGAATTTTTTTATGAAATTGGTCATTGCATTTTTTTAGATTCCAACTAAGATATCTTAAGCAAGGATTTATACTAAGTACATGATGGCTCTAATTATGGGTAATTGTAGAGACTGTATGACAATAGTATTATAAGACAACATATTTAATATTAGATTTGATTGTGGAATTGACCACTACAATAAAAATAGACTATTATTCTAACAAAAATTTCAAAAGAATGTGAAGAAAAAAAGACAACATCTCAAACTGACGTAATCATATATGATCTCAAATAATTATAATAAAATAAATTCATAAGTGCAAAATGGCAATAAAAGTTTTGATTAGAATATATATGCAATAGTTTACATCCAAAATTAAAAGTATATTACAATTCAAACAACTTTCACAAAACTCCTTAATCTACATGTATTTTCTTAAGGCTGCATATAGAGATTGTAGGAATTCTAAAAAAAAGAAGCATATGCCTTTAAGAAGAAACAATAATATGCAAACTTTTAGAATCCTTTAATAATAAAATCTCAATACTTTTCCTTTTTTAGGGGCTAATTAACCTTAAATCATTATAAATATAAATACTTGATCTATATAAAATGAACAAATTCAACCTTGACTATTTAGATTCTTTCATAAAAAATATTTCTAAAGAACATATTTCCAATTGTGAAGAGAAATAAAATGAGTCTGATAAAAAAGAAGACAATAGAAGAAGACTTGAAGTACTTCTATGGCTACTAAAAGTAAAATTAATTGCAGAGCAATATAGGCATGGAAGAATTAAGAAGTAATTAAAGAAAGAAGAGGAAGAAAAATATGGCTTCAAAAAAGAAGGCTCCAAGAGTACAAATCAAATAAGTAAGACACCTTATTGCAAGGAAGCAAAGATGACCAAAGATCAAAGATAGACAATAAGGATTTAGGCCACAAAGTCAACTTTGATGATACATGTTATTTTATAATTGTATTAAAAATAGGACTTTAGGTAGCTAGATATAAGGATGAATTGGTGCTTGCCAACAAAGCTATTGCTCTTAAACTTGGGCAAAGTTGGAACTCCTTTATTGTAGATGCATATGAGCCAAGTCTTCATCTTCATACTATGATTTAGCCTAAGATTTCAAGGAGATTGGAAGTTGATAAAGTAAAAGTTGATTGGACATCAAGGATTGTAGCAACAAAGATTGAGGAAGCAGAGCTTAAAAGAAGAAGGGTTGATAGAGCAGAGGTTAAAGAGTATAAAAAAGAAGTTGGAATTGAGAGATAAAAAGTGTTTAGAAATGTTAGCAATGTTTATGTAAATAAAAAGATTCTAATATGAACAAAGAAGAGAGTTGCAATTCAAAGAGGTAGAAATAAATTAAGTGAAGGTTCTAACAAATATTTTTTAGAATTTAAAAGCAATAATAATGATGATGGAGAAAATATTAAGAATGATTCTTAAAAAATATAACTAATTTAAAATAGAAGTTTTGTAATGTAACTTAGAAAAATTCAAATATTTTGTATGATCCTATATAAAGATAATTTTTAAGGCATTCCAAAAGGCTATCTTTTTATAAAAAGTCATTTCTACTTTTATTATTTTATTTGAATTTTTTACAACTCAATACTTATGGATGTATGTACAAAAGAAAAAAAAATATACAAGTATATCAATATATGTACATGGAAATATATTGAAAGGACTAAAGTAAGAAGATTTGACAATATTTTATTTAAAAGCTTTTATCGCATTGATATTATATATCGTGGAGGCAAAATTTATCCTTCATCTCAAATTATAAGATAGCTTCAAATAAGAATTTTTTATAATTGGTGATATAAGGTGAGATATACAAACAACAAGATCAAAAGAAAAACAACAAAATAAATAAATACAATTAAGCAATTATATATTCTAAAACTATTCATTAGATTTTTATTTAATAAAAATAAAGGTAAAAAGTAAAATTTATAGTTTTAGATAATTAATTTTATTATATTTTTAATGACATAAAAAAAACATATAAATCCAAATTATTGTGAATAAATTATGAGGGTTTAAAGATAAAAAGTAAAAGGATGAAAATTTAAGTGAATAAATTTTATGTCAAAAATAACTTGTTTAATAAATTAAGGATTCAAGCCTCACCAATGCTCACAAGTAGTATATAAAGATGTGTTAGAGAGGTGCCAAAGCTTTAGTCTTATTCTCCTACCCACATCCAATATACTATAACTCATATAGAATTTATGAACTTCCATTTTTATAAGAACTAGACTAGTTGCTGATTCTTCTATTTTCTATTAGTAGAACTTATATTTTTCTATTTTAGACTTCATCATGTTGTTTTAAAAAATCCTATCAACCTTAGGACCTTATATGCTCTTCTAATCTTCCTCCATTTCTTCATAATGGCTCCCAAGGTGGTGAAACTTAATTTTATCAAAGTCTTAAAAATTACTTTAAAAATTCTTTAAAAATATATATATATATATATATATATAATAAATATATATATAATATTTTTATAATGCTAATATCAATTTAAGATAAAATTTTATTATCTTGGTGATTTTTCATAGTAATAAAATCAATTTAAATCAATTATAAGATCTTATTTTTTATATAAATAAGTAAAAAGACATGTGATGCTTTTCATGTTTTTTCTAAGTACTAACTAACATATATAGAAGACCAATGTAGAAATTAGTCTTAATAATTAAATATTAATATTTAATAGTAAGAAAAAAAATATTAAATCAACTAAGATAATTGTCTTCTAGACTTACTAAGATTCTATTTTCATATTTTTTTTCTAATAAGATTCTTGTATCTTCTAAAAATTTATAAATTCTAATAAATACTTAAATAATCAAAAAGATTCTTTAATTTTTATATTTTTCTAATTAATTCATTTAAAAAAATTAATGGTTTCACTAATTAAGATCCATTGATAAGAATGACATATATAGAGATAAAAAATTTAAAAAAAAAAAAAAAAAAAAAAAAGCCAAATTAAAAAATCAAATTAAAAAACTTGTTGGTTGTAAAATATACTTGTGTATTTTTTAGTAATATGTAATATTTTCACATGAATTTAATTTATGGATTTAAGAAGA